CTCATGGATAGAGAGGGACAAATATTAGTTATTTCCCCCAAAAATAATAATGTTGAACATCTTTTCCTGGGCTTCTTGGACATTTGTATGTCATCTTTGGAGAAATGTCTGTTCACATCCTTTGCTTTTTTTAAACTGTATTTATCTTTTTATTGAATTGTAAGAGTTCTTTATATTAATATATTTTGGGTACACATACATTATTAGATATACACTTTGCAAATATTTTCTGTTCTTTGAATTGTCTTTTCACTTTCTTGGTGGTATGATTCGCAGCACAAAAGTTTTTTAAATTTGTTGTAGTCTATCTTTACAGTTCTTAAAGGTCTGATCTGAAGCAGTGTTTTAACGTTCAGTTGTGTTCTTCCTTCATTAAATAGTAATAAAAAAACTCAAAAGGCTGCCATATCTCTTCGCCTATTAATTTGAAGGGATCCACAGAAATGAAATGTAGAAATCCCCTTAATTAGATATTTGCTTGTGATTTTATAGGTAATATATAACATAGCTATAAATATATATAATTGAAATTTTACATGAAGTGTTTATATCTTAAGTAAACATATGTGTCTATCATCCAGATCAAGATATAGAACATTCCCAGCACCCCCAGAATGCTGCTTACCTAAGCCAAATTTTGAGTTTGAAGTCAGAGTCAGGGAAAGTGTCTAAGAATCTCTTCTTATTTTAAATATAGATGTACCTGGTTTTTTTTTGAGACAGAGTCTACTATGTTGCCTGGGCTAGAGTGTCCTGGCATCATCCTCGCTCACAGCAACCTCAAATTCCTGGGCTCAAACAATCCTGCTGCCTCAGCCTCCCAAGTAGCTGGGACTATAGGCATGCACCACCATGCCTAGCTAATTTTTTTTTCTTTTTTTAATTTTTTTTTTTTTTTTTTTCTCTTAGCCTCAATTTTTCCCTGGAATATTTTTTATATATGTATATATTTTAGTTGTCTAGCTAATTTCTATCTTTTTTTAGTAGAGACAGGGAACTGAGACTGAGCCTCTTGCTCAGGGTAGTCTCAAACTCCTGAGCTCAAATGATCCTCCTGCCTTGGTCTCCCAGAGTGCTGGGATTACAGGCCTGAGCCACCGTGCCTGTCCCCAGAATCTCTTTAGATTAACCTAAGCAAAATGCTGTTCAAAGGTGTAGTGTACTACGCTTGATTCTTGAACAGCTTTTCCTGATCTAGCTTTTAGGAAAGTTTGCTGGAGTTTTATGAGAGAATTTCTAATTAGACCTCCTCCCTCCCTAAATTTGGAACTATGAAAGAATGTTTTTTTGAAATGCATTAGTACATTATACCACTTGATGGCACTGTTGTGTTGCAAACAGGCAGCATTTCGAAAAATGTCAACAGGGCATGTGGTTGTGGCTTTCAGAGTAATCTGAAATCTTTTATTTATTATATTTCATCTTTTTAGAGTCATTTCCTTTAGTGTTTCCTATGAAGAAAATCCTTTGTATTCTTTAATTGAACTATAACTATTCTTTCATTCTTTTTTCCAGGTATTTTTGAGCACAGAGATAAAAAATTAATAGCTTTCAACAGTCAATTCTTTAGATTTTAAAGAGAAAAAGAGGCCGGGTGGCTCATGCCTGTAATCCTAGCACTCTGGGAGGCTGAGGTGGATGCATCATTTGAGCTCAGGAGTTCGAAACCAGCCTGACCAAGAGCGAGTCTCTACTAAAAATAGAAATTAGCTGGACAACTAAAAACATATAGAAAAAATTAGCTGGGCATGGTGGCGCATGCCTGTAGTCCCCACTACTTGGGAGGCTGAGGTGGAAGGATTTCTTGAGCCCAGTAATTTGAGGTTGCTGTGAGTTAGGCTGACGCCACGGCACTCTAGCCTGAGCAACAGAGTGAGACTCTGTCTCCAAAAAAAAAAAAATAGTAAATTAAAAATCTGTTATATATGAATATACTATTAGTTGCTTAAAAGATATTTGATGAGTTTTTGTTGATAAAATGTAATATTCTTATAAAAATAGGAAGATACTTCCTTACTGTGGAGAAAACTGTCTTACACTAAATGCTAACAGTATGCTATGCTTAAGAGTGAGATCCCAGGGACATTCATTTATCTAACATGTACATATATATGTATATAAATTACCTGCTATGTTCCAGATACTGTTTTGAGTCCTGGTAAACTGTCTCCCAGGAAATTTTACATTCTAGTGGGCAGGAGGTATAACAAATAAGATAAATATAACAAATCAGCAAGTTATTTACTGTGTTAGAAAGTGGTAAAATTACATTTTAAAAAGCAGGCTGGGCATACTGGCTCATGCCTATTACCCTAGCATTTGGTAGGCTGAGGTGGGGAGGATTGCTTGAGGCCAGGAGTTGGAGACCAGCCTGAGCAACATAGTGAGGACCCTGTCTCTATACCAAAAATACAAAAAATTCTCCAGGTATGGTGGTTCTAGCCTGTAGGGAAAGCATATTCTAGCCCAAGGGAAGCACCAGCACAAGGCTCTGAATGAGAGGATCACTGAGGAGCCAGTGTGCCTACAGCAGGTGGAGCGGAGGGTGGATCAGCTCATGAGGTCACAGAGGTGCTGTTAGAGCCTGGGCCTCCTAACTCCCAGCCCATTGCTCTTTGTTAGCCTGTGACCTTCGCTCTTTATCTGTATCTTTCTGACCCGTAGTTGTGGCAACAGGGAGCAGTAGACCCTAGACGTAGATTAAAAGTCCAGTATTTGAATTTGGCAGATACTCTTGAAAAAAAGAGTATTTGTTGCTAAAACAGGTATGGAAAAAAAATGAAGAACCTATGAATGAATGAATGAATGAATGAATGAATGAATGAATGAATGAATGAATATTCTAATATTTATAAATTTAGTATTAGTGTGAATCCATTTATTATATAAGAAGATTAAATGTTCATTTGCTCCAGGCTTTTTTTTTTTAACATCAGGAAAATTATTATGTATTTATGAGAATACCTTATTTAGTAATACCTCATTTTTGCAATATTTTCAAGGAGTGGTGTGACCTACATTGTATGTATTATCTGTGTGACAGAAGCTTAACCTTCAGTTAATAAACACTATGATTTTACACTATGATAAACACTATAAAACTTTTTAAATATATTAAATGTTTAAAGTTTAGTGCGAAACGTTTTGATTCGAAACATTTTTTAATCTCTATATAATGGCTTGTGGTTTTCACTTTCTTTAAAGAATATGATTCATTAAAAATAATTACTAAGATAATACTACAAAGCTACCAGATTATTTTTGACTTCTCTTAGCATCAGTTCTCTTATTTCTTAAATGGTGATTATAATGTCCACCTCATAGGGTGACTATTAGGTTAAGAAGTTGAATGATATATGTAGATGCCTACCTAGGACAGGGCCTAGCACATTGGTAAGAATGAAATAAATGATAATTTTTTTTTTCAGAAATGGTCTAAGTCTTTGAGGAGTGCAAAGTTTTTAAGGCTTTTAGGCATGAATTTAATCAGTTTCTTTCCCTTACCCTCCCTTTTCTTTTTTTTTTTTTTTTTTTTTGAGACAGAGTCTTGCTTTGTTGCCCAGGCTAGAGTGAGTGCCATGGCGTCAGCCTAGCTCACAGCAACCTCAAACTCCTGGGCTCAAGCGATCCTTCTGTCTCAGCCTCCCAAGTAGCTGGGACTACAGGCATGCGCCACCATGCCCGGCTAATTTTTTATATATATATCAGTTGGCCAATTAATTTCTTTCTATTTATAGTAGAGACGGGGTCTCGCTCAGGCTGGTTTTGAACTCCTGACCTTGAGCAATCCGCCCGCCTCAGCCTCCCAAGAGCTAGGATTACAGGCGTGAGCCACAGCGCCCAGCCCCTTTTCTAATTTATCTCCATTCTTCTTCCTTCACTATGTCCCCTCTTCTAAGGGTTAATCTGTACATACTACTAGGAGCTTTCCAGATCTAATTCTAAGCCTTTCTTGGTATGCAGTCTTTTCCCTGGTGATCAAACCATTTTCATATATTATTCTATTGTATAGTGATCTATTCAGCGATAATTAAGACTTATATGATTCTTTCTTTCCTACATGGCTTCAAGCTGTCACAGTTTTTGAGCTCTTATGTCTACTTTTTTGAGTTTAGTTTTAGCTTCCTTCATCACTGTCAGCTCTAGTTACCTGCTGCTGTCAGTGCAGCACTTCTGTTAGTTCTTTGCTGCTTCCTGTCGTCAGCGTCCAATCTGCTGAGTGTTGAATCACTGAATAATCAAGTTTTATAAAATAATGTCTGTGACAGGAATGGAAAATAAGTTTTCGCTTGTGTTGATTTCAATTAGTAGTAGCTGCCTGGAGTCCTGCGTTCAGCAGGATTCTGGAGTTTTGTCCATGTTTGGTGAAAAAGAGTGATCTGACAATGGAAGGGTTGGCAGTGTGAGTGCCATGTACTTGCCACTTACTGTCCAAAGTATGACACTGAAGGTGGATCCGAGTGGATTCTGTAATGAGTGAAATATGTAAGTTAGTGTGTGGATTTTGTGATACTGTTTTGACAACTTCATAGATGCTTTTTGGTTATTGGTTACCCTCTTACTTTAGATATTGAGGTTTCTAAATAACTTACCCCTGGATAAATAAAGGAAATGGTCTGAAAGGATTCTGTTTTACACCGTATAAGTTACATTACCTTCAGGTTCGTAAGTATGCAGTTAACTTAGGTATTATGTGATTAAAAAATTAAGCCATGTCAAATTTTTTTGGTGTTTCATATTTTATCAAAATTACATACTTAGTAAACGTACAAATATTTGATCAGTTCACTGAATGGAAAATGCCAGATTATTAATAAACTTTCACAAAGCTGATTGAATTTTCAGACATTTCTTTATGATGGCAATAAATAGGCATGTCTGTATGATTATTAGTTTCAAAATCATTTAATGTGTGAATACATCTGAGAAAGTTTAAATTTTAAACTGAATTATTTCTGATATGTCTTTCCTTTTATACATATCACATATAACTTTTGCAGGTTGGATTTGCTACCATTTTATGCAAGATTGGTTGCTACATTACATCCCTGCATGTCTGATGTAGCAGAGGATCTTTGTTCCATGCTGAGGGGGGATTTCAGATTTCATGTATGTATTTAAGCATTTATTTTGTAATATATATATTTTAAAAAGTTGAGTGAGGATTCTTTAGTTTAAGAACATAATTGTTGGTAAGCATATTATTGAAATTTGATAGTGGTATAACAGTTCAGAATCTATGGAATTCTAAATTTCAAAAATGTAAATTTACTCAACAAAGCTTGAAATGGATAAGTGATATTCCAACTTTGAGGTGAGCTGTTACTGCTTCTTTGTTCCCCAATTGTAGGTATTGTACTTTTTGCTTTTGTAAAATAAAAACCATTCTCCAAGGTCAAGACAGCCAGAGGCCTTACTGTTGTTTCTGGAAGAAACAGGATTGGCAATGAAGAGTCAGGGTGTGGTGCCATGTAGGATGCCTCTGTAGTGTTGGGGGTCCAAATGTGTGGAGCATAAAAGATTCCATAAATTTTCTTGTATTGGTACATGCTGGTTGATTCTTGCCTTGAGAATCTTTACCTTGGATGGTGGTGTGTTCTTTAAGACCACCCTAGGAAATACCAGGGGCCTGTTATCAGACAGCTTCCCTAGGAGTCTGAATAGACCAGAGTTTGTAGTTCTCCAAAACCCACATTATCCAGTCATCTCATGGTGGTGATAGAGCTTTAGATACTAGCTTGGTTGGGGGTGGGGGGTGAATGATAGTGCTAGAGGTATTGGTAGACGGGCATTGAATAGAAAGTGGGCATTGATAGATGATGAAAAAACGTGAAATTCAAGTGTTTATGATAGCCAGTGGGAAATTGTGTTTACAAAATTTAGCTTTGTAGTAAGTTGCTGAGAATACAAATAAAATCAGGAATTGTTTGCTGTGTTCAATACATGCTTTCTTGTACTCACTGTGCACAGATCAGTAGCATTGCTGAACACTCAGGAAAGAACAGACACAATTTCTGAGGTCAAGAACCTCATGATGTAGTTGGGGAGACAAGGCATAAATAGAAAAGCAAGAGTGAAATAAAATTTAAATCCTTAACTATAATAGATATAAGGAATTGCATGCTTAATTGTCCAGTGGATTATTAGAGAGAGAGTGCTTTGGTTCAGAGGAAGGAGAAAGTCTCACGAGGGTAGAATGATTGGTACTGGCTTCTTGGAGTATTAATTTGTTATTAAGAGATTTGTGGTTAAGATTTTTCTGGGCCAGCTTTTGCGAAAGTGTTTTTTATATTTTCATAGGTAGTATTAATTAGAAAAGTTTTCATGTTTAGAGAAGTTGGAAACACTGAACGCAGTAAAGTTAAATGCTTTGGTTTTGTTTTATTGTAAGAATTCTCAAAGCTTTAATGTGTTAATGTGCTCTGTGAATCTCCTGGAGAGGTATAAGCATATAATCCCATGAAGAACACACTTTGATAAATGCTGCTAGTTTGGGGTCAGATACATCAGAAGTCATGATATTCTTGTTGATATATATAATCCCATTGTACAAACAACTGTTTTGCCAGTGTGCAGTAGGAGTATATTACATGAGTTACATGCTTATTCTCCTCAGCCAAACTCCAAATTAAAACACGTTGCTAGACCAAGCATAATTAGTGCTTTCGGTGAAAAACTTAAAATTAAGAAATTTCTATCCATGTGTACTTCACTCGCTTTTGAAAATTGAGATGGGAGTCGGAGAATTGGCATTTTTATTGTAACTGCTGTAATGCTTCATTACAAAGGGAGGAATATCAGAATTCCAGGAGCATGCTTTGGAACCACTGCTCTCAGGGGAGAGAAGAAAGGGCACTTGAAGTAATTGATTACCTTTTATTAAATACTTCCTCAAGGGTCTGTCCTCCCCCATCCCCAAATCTGCAGACTTTGCCAAACACTTCCTATTAGGCCAGAACAAAGTTCGGTGCCCAATGCTCTCCCATCCTCAAATGAAAATAAAATAACAGCAACAAGAACAAAAAACTTCTCTCAATATCTGTACACCCCCACAGCTATCCTCTTCTGTTTTCTTCTCATTCAAATGTTTTAGAGTATGTTTGTACTTCTGGTGACATTTACCCTTTGATTCCCCATCATGGCTGCACCCTGGCAGAGACCACCAGTGTTTCATAATTGCCTGTTAGTTGATGTCTCTGCAGATTCTAAACTGCTGGACTCTCCTGCTTTATAGGAAGCTGTCATTCTAGCTCTAGCACATGCTAGCATTGTAACTTTGGCCAAGTTATTCACGTGCTCTAAACCTCAGTTTCCAAGTCTATCAAATGGGAATAGTAATTGCATGTTTTTAAATAGGGTTGTTCTTAAGTATTAAATGAGAAAATGCCTATACAGTTCTTCACACAGTGTCTGCACGTAAATATCATTACAGTCATTATCCCTTGTGTACCTCCGCTTTCTCCTGATTCTTACTTAAGACCGCTATTCTCAATCTCCTCCTTTTTTTCTAGCTGAATTTGTAGGTTGGAATTTCCTAAGCTTTCTTCCTTCACCCTCCTTTTTGATGTAGCACATTTTACCTAGTTTCAGTTTGCATCTATTCCCAACAAACCCAGATATATGTCTCTTGCTGGAACCTCTCTCTTGGTACTTAGTTTTAATGTTCTTCTAGGTAAATATGTCCAGAAAACAAGCTTATTGTGTTCTTCTTAAAAAGGTCTTAATCTTTTACTTCCTCAAATCTACTTCTATATTTTCCCTATAAATTTACAATATATTTTACCTAATCAGTAAGATAAATAGCTCTACTTTTGTACCTAGACATTGAGGAGCCAGTATTCACCAAATTCTATTAATGCTGCTTTCTAAAACAGGTCAAATCTAGCATCTCCTCTTCATTGCTACTGCTGCTGTGTTTCATTATCCCTAGTTGGATTATTGTAATAGTGTTTGTTTGTTTGTTTGTTTTTTGAGACAGAGTCTCTTTGTTGCCCAGGCTAGAGTGAGTGCCGTGGCGTCAGCCTAGCTCACAGCAACCTCAGACTCCTGGGCTCAAGCAATCCTTCTGCCTCAGCCTCAGTGTATATATATATATATATATATATATATATACACACACATACATATATACATATATATGTGTGTGTATATATATATATACATATACATATGTATATATATATAAAAATAAATAAATAAAATTAGCTGGGTATAGTGGCACATGCCTGTAGTCCCAGCTTCTTGGGAGGCTGAGGTAGGAGGATCGCTTGAGCCCAGGAGTTTGAGGTTGCTGTGAGCTAAGCTAACGCCACGGCACTCTAGCTTGGGCAACAAAAGTGAGACTCTGTCTCAAAAAAAAAAAAAAAAATTGATGGGTTCTCAACTTTTTCGATCTAGCCTCTTTATTAGTTAAAATAAGCTGGCCATGTACATTAGGTATATATATTTTTAAATTATATACATTTGCAGTTGTATCAAATATTTAATGTGTATTATAAAACCACAAAAATAAATGGAAAGATACAAGATAAACATAAATAAAAGTTTCAACCCTCAACCCCCACCAGATCCCAGTAGATGAGGGTCTTACAGAAACCTTCCTACTTTGGAGATCACTGATCCATAAAATTTAAAAAAATTTCATAGCAAGGCAAATTTACTTATTTATAGACATAATACTGATTCCGTATTTAGCATACAGTAGGTTTTCAAAAAAGTTTGTTGAATGATTAAATAAGCTTCATATAAAACAAAATGAGCAGACTGTGGAGGAAACAAAGTTATCTATTTGGCCCTTGTAGAAAGCCAGCGTGGCTGGAGAAGAGGGTTCTTCCTGTAGGAAAGTGTGGTAGTCCCAGGAAGTCATTATTTGTGTTGACATATCTAAAGAGGTTTTTTTTGTTGTTGTTGTTTTTTGAGACAGAGTCTCACTTTGTTGCCCAGGCTAGAGTGAGTGCCGTGGAGTCAGCCTAGCTCACAGCAACCTCAAACTCCTGGGCTTAAGCAATCCTGCTGCCTCAGCCTCCCCAGTAGCTGGGACTACAGGCATGCGCCACCATGCCCGGCTAATTTTTTCTATATATATTAGTTGGCCAATTAATTTCTTTCCATTTATAGTAGAGACGGGATCTCGCTCTTGCTCAGGCTGGTTTCGAACTCCTGACCTCGAGCAATCCGCCCGCCGCGGCCTCCCAGAGTGCTAGGATTACAGGCGTGAGCCACTGCGCCCAGCCTAAAGTTCAGGTACCTTTAACAAATGAGTTGGAAAAAGCATTTTTGCTAATACTGATTGATTAAATAAGCAAAATCTTACAAGAGGCATTACTGGAAAAAATATTTAAAAATTTACATTGTGAACTCATCTACATTTAGTTTTGCAGAAGTGTTTTGACACATCTTTGATCATAAGGGTTTAAGAAAAGAATTTTTTTTAAACAAGTAACACCCTTTTTTAAAAGCCCTTTGTTTTCTCATCTGAAGATGAGAGGGTAGGGTCATTGTTTATAATCCTTCATTTAAAAGTTCTATAATTTTGTCATTTTAGTTAGATTGTACCTCCTTAGTCTTTATAATATTTAAGATTAGAGTTAATATAAGTATATACTGTGGATGATGTAGTATGTTCTAGGTTTTGAAATCTGTAATGCTCAGCAATACTTAAAAGTTATCTGAAACTCCATAGCAGTTGTTGAAGAGGGTGTACATCTGGGACTGTCCAAGGAAACTTAAAAAAATATGTGTATGTATTTCCCAGCCCTGCCTACCCTTAAAGATTCAGCTTCAGTATATAGCTTTGGATATGCTTTCTTATGCTTTTTTCCCCTATATTTCTTTGACGATAAAAGAGACACATGCTCAGTAATTTAGAAAATATGGAAAGTAGAAAGGAAGAGGGAAAAAATGACATCACTTAACAGCAAACCCTGTTAACATTTTGATGTTTTCTTTACCTTTTTTCTCTAGTGTTGCATAGATGAATTATACTTTATATACAGTTTTCTTTTCCAATTTCTCACTTAGAAGCATTTTACCAGGTCATTAAAACACTGCTTAGATATCATTTTGAAGGTTGTGTAATCTTCTTTTGTCCTGGATATTAATTGCTTAGTATTAAGGGAAGTATAGTCACTACCATCATCATCATCATCATTATCCATATTTTACCAAGTGGGACACAGATTCAGGGGAGTTTATGTGACTTGCCCAAGATCATATATCCCAGAAAATTACCAGAAGAGCACAGCTATTATGACTATAAAACTTTGGCTCTTTTACTTCACTGTTTGTTTATATATATGTGTGTGTGTGTGTAAAGTTGTTTGTTTATTCAGTAAACATTTACTTAATGCCCACATACTAGGAATAGAAATATGCAAAGTTGGATAAAATTAACTATAGGTAATATTTATTGAACCCTTACTGGTTCTAAGCATTGTTTTATGTATTAACTTATTTAAGACTCACAACAACCCTATTAGGTCCATTTTTCAGATGAGAAAATTGAAGTGCAGAGTTTAATTAATAGCCAGTAAGTGTCAGTCATGGAGCTGGGATTTAAATCCAGTAAAACTGGTCCAGACTCCACATTCTATCTATCCCTGTAGTTCACAAAATAAGGTAAATTAACAAGAGGAGGTTTTCATGTGTCGTGCTTATCAAACATACTTATTTGTGAAATGATGTTTATGAAGTCTGTATTCCTTTCTAAATTATAAGGCTGAAAACAACCAACTTTATTCAGTATTATTTTGTTTAATATTAAAATAGAAAAACTAGTTCTATTTTCTGTTTGTCTCCAGTCACAAAATTATTTTGTATACTTAAATGATGCCTTTAACATAAAGTTCTGGGCTAGACACCGTGACTCACACCTGTGAGAGTGTCCATCTCTACCCAAAATAGAAAAATTAGCCAGGCTTTGTGGCACACACCTGTGGTCCCAACTACTCAGGAGGCTAAGGCAGGACGATCTCTTGAACTCAGGAGTTTGAGGTTGCAGTGAGCTGTGATGAGGCCATTGCAGCCCAGCCAGGGTGACAGAGTGAGAGTCTGTCTCAAAAAAAAAAAAATCTATATTGAAGTTGAATTTTTGTGATTTTATTTGCTTTTGTTTTATGGATGCAATTTTGTTGATGCTTTAGATTAAATTCAGTTATGGTGAGCTTCTAGTTTGCTCTGAGTATTTAAATGAGTAAATAGGGTTTGTTTAAAATCTGAAAAGTCTAAATACCTACTTCTGCTTGCTATAGAAAGTTAGATCTTTTAAAATTAAGATGACAAATAGCTGTCTCAATATGTAAAAGTTTAGTTTTCATATAAATGATTGTTGTTAAGTGTCCAGCTACCAGTGAAATTAGGCTTTATTTCTAATTCCAGTGTATACATGTGGGGGTAATATAGTAGAATTCTCAATTCACAGATAGGAGATTAGGATTTTAGTATTGATTCTTGGTCACATCTTTTGACAGCTTTCTGTCCTATTTTTGTTTAACTATTAAACCAGAATAATAACAGCTGTTATTCCTCTCTCAGAATGTTGTTATATGGAAAAAATGAGATAGGATAGTATTTCAAAAAGAAAGGGATAAACTAATTCAAGGCACCACCATGTGATGGTCATTGTTGTTCAAATAAAATGTTTCTCGACTGTAGATTTGGTTTTCTGATGAAAATAGAATTCTGAGGATAAATCCAGTTACATTTACTTTGGTGTGTCTGTTAGCATTGTACTGTTGCAATGGGATTTTGTTGCATTTGGTATTTCTTGAAATGTGTACCTAAGTAGAAGACATTTATTTACAGAGGATTTGAACTTTGACATACAACTATGGTAATAAAGATAAAAACAATGATTATATTCGATGTTTCATTATAATGAATTTATAATAAAAAATGCATTATAGTTTGTAATTACAGTATACCAGCTGAGCCTTAATATCATTTTTGCTTAAGTGAGTGCTTGGTATTCATATTTTTTAAGCAGCATTTCCTAAAGTGTGTTCCTTATAATACAAATTTGATGGAGTGTTAACTAATAGTGATTAACATTTCAGAAAAAAGGTTTATGTTGCCAGATAAATCTGAGAAACTTAAGTTAAACAGGCTTCTTTATTTAAGGGCCTCTTTGAGCCTGATAAAATGCATTGTTTCCCCCAAATGTTGATTGATTAAGCAATATCATTTTACTTTTAATTTGTAGGTACGAAAAAAGGACCAGATCAATATTGAAACAAAGAACAAAACTGTTCGTTTTATTGGAGAACTAACTAAGTTTAAGATGTTCACAAAAAATGATACACTGCATTGTTTAAAGGTTAGTGCTGAATTACTGTGGTTTTTTTTGTTTGTTTTTTTTTTTTTTTTTTTTTTTTTTTTGAGAGAGAAGAGTCTTGCTCTGTTGCCTTGGGTAGGGTGCAGTGGCGTCTTACAACTCACAGCAACCTCAAACTCCTGGGCTCAGGTGATTCTCCTGCCTCAGCCTCTTGAGTAGCTGGGGCCACAGGTGCATACCGTGATGCCTGGCTTTTCTATTTTTGGTAGAGGTGGAGTCTTGCTTTTGCTCAGGCTGGTCTAGAACTCCTGAACTCGAGCGACCCTCTTGCCTCGGCCTGCCAGAGTGCTAGGATTACAGGCATGAGCCACTGTTCCCTACCCATTTGATTATTATTTTTTTTTTTTTTTTTTGAGACAGAGTCTCGCTTTGTTGCCCAGGCTAGAGTGAGTGCCGTGGCGTCAGCCTAGCTCACAGCAACCTCAAACTCCTGGGCTCCAGTGATCCTTCTGCCTCAGCCTCCCGGGTAGCTGGGACTACAGGCATGTGCCACCATGCCCGGCTAATTTTTTTATATATATATATCAGTTGGCCAATTAATTTCTTTCTATTTATAGTAGAGACGGGGTCTCGCTCTTGCTCAGGCTGGTTTTGAACTCCTGACCTTGAGCAATCCGCCCGCCTCGGCCTCCCAAGAGCTAGGATTACAGGCGTGAGCCACAGCGCCCGGCCTGATTATTTTTAATAGAAAAGTTTAAAGTTTTGGTTGTAAGTGGTGAATAAAATTAAATAATTAAATATTTGATTAATCCAAAAGAAGACAAGAAAGGAGCAAAAAGGAACATTAAACAGATGAGCAAAATAGAAAACACTAAGATGTTAGATACATATGCATCTTTATCAGTAATTATATGAAACCTAAAAGGACTAAGTAAATACATCAAGTAGAAGCCTTAAAAATATAAGACTTAATTAAGACACTATGTACTATCTACAAGAGAGAAGTGTAAAGATGAGAACAGTTAAAGTAAAAAGATGGGGAAAATATACTATGCAAATGCTAACCAAAAGAGAGCTGATTTTACTTACTATTATCCGACAAAGTATATGTTAAGGCACAAAGCATTAATAGAAATAAAGAGGGATGGTTCATAAGGATGACTAGGTCATCATTACCTTCCTGAGTTAATATGCAACTAATAGCATAGCTTCAAAATATACGAAGCGAAAATTGGCAAGTAATGGAGAAATAAACACCATAAAGAATATCTCAGCAAATTTGAGAAGATGGAAATTACTCAGATTATGTTTTCTTTCTTTCTTTCTTTTTTTTTTTTTTGAGACAGAGTCTCGCTTTGTTGTCCAGGCTAGAGTGAGTGCCGTGGCGTCAGGCTAGCTCACAGCAACCTCAAACTCCTGGGCTCAAGCGATCCTTCTGCCTCAGCCTCCCGAGTAGCTGGGACTACAGGCATGCGCCACCATGCCCGGCTAATTTTTTTTTATATACATATCAGTTGGCCAATTAGTTTCTTTCTATTTATAGTAGAGACGGGGTTTCGCTCTTGCTCAGGCTGGTTTTGAACTCCTGACCTTGAGCAATCCGCCCGCCTCGGCCTCCCAGAGAGCTAGGATTACAGGCGTGAGCCACCACGCCTGGCCTCAGATTATGTTTTCTATCCACTGTGGAATTAAAACTAGAAATCAGTTAACAGTAATTAGCGCTATATATATATATATAGTAAAGTTCATACAGAATAGATGGAATAATTCTACATTTAAAATTGATGGTTCTCTTCTTAAAGTTGTTTTTCTCTCTAACAAATTTATTTAACAACTTGATTTCCTTGGGCTGTTAATAGGTATATCACATAAAACCTATCTCAAGGATTTAAATACATTTGGAACGATATGAGCTAAACAAAATTAAAGTTTCTTTACTGCATGATTTCTTAGAGTATTTACAATATTAATAGTTATTGTAAATATTGTAGGGATCAAGTTTCTTAAACCTTGGAGCATCTCAGGAAACTGATAACACTGCGAAATACATTTAGGGAAACTCCAGACAGCATTGTAAGAGGCATTGTGAAAGTTTTCCAAATTGAAAGGAATCATGCTAAGACTGTTTAGATGTATTAGTATATTTTTGGTACTGTTTCTTAAAGATAATTTTGGAGGGATATGTGTTTTTTGACATAGAAATTCCTTTTTTAGGAATTGATTTTAAGGAAGCAATCATAAATGCATGCATAGATTTATCTATGAGAATGTTTGTCACACCAGTTTTAGAATGCAAGTTAAACATCCCTAATCTGAAAACCCAAAATCTGAAATGCTCCAAAATCCAAAACTTTTTGAATACCAACATGGCACCATAAGTGGAAAATTCTGCACCTGACTTCATATGATGAGTCATAGTCAAAAGAAAGTCAAAACTTTGTTATAAAAAATTTCATGCACAAAAGTATATAAAGTATTGTATAAAATTGCCTTTAGGCTGTATGTATAAGATATATATGAAACATAAATTAATTTTGTGTTTAGACTTGGGTCCCATCTCCAAGATAGCTTATTATGTATATGCAAATACTATATTCCAAAATCTGAAAAATCAAAAATCCAAAACACTTCTGGTCCCAAGTGTTTTGGATATTCAACATGTAGCAAGAAATGGGAGACAATTTGGATGATAAATAAGAATTACATTTTTATCTAGTTCATATTATATAATGTGCACTAGATATATGTGCCCTCTAAATATATATAGTGCCTTCTAAATCATGTCATAGAAAGAAAAAAAGGAACATGAAAAAATATTTGTTAAGCCAAAAAACCAAGTTATTAAATGACATGTCTAAATCTATTTTAGTTTAGAAAATATGCATAAAAGATTGAGAGGATAATACTAAAATGTGTCTGGTATGTGTTATGTTTATAAATTTCATTCAATGGACAAATAATACTTTTGTAGTGAAAATTTTTTAAAGTAAATGTTATATAGACGAAAACAAAACAAAAAGACATTGAGAAAATGTTTGTGTGGCATGTATTTAAATGCATAACATCTAATAATAAATATAGAAAGGGTTTTGACAGTTTCCATATATTTTTCTGAAAGGAAAAACATTAAAAATATTGACGTTTTTCAGTAAAAAATGTTATGGCGTTATACAAAAGATGCCCAGCAGTAAAGCTAAGTAGCCTCACTTTTGTTTTTTATACTGACAGTTTTTAAGTTGTTAACACACATTAGCTGTATAATATTTTCTCTCTCTATGAGGATTGAAGTGTTGCCTTTGTAGTTTTTCATCACTCTTATTATTGCAGATGCTTCTGTCAGACTTCTCTCATCATCATATTGAAATGGCATGTACCCTACTGGAGACGTGTGGACGGTTTCTTTTCAGATCCCCAGAGTCTCACCTGAGGACCAGTGTACTTCTGGTAAGGGCTTTGAGGATCCGGTAAGAGCTGGAGGGTCTTGACTTACCTGTACTCCAGGGGTTAAAAGTACTGACCACTACTAGTTATATTGCTTTGCCATATGAATACAAATATTTCTACCTAAATTGAAATATCCCTTTATATATCAGCCACCATCCCTGGATATCTATAGAAATTTTTCTCACTTGGCTGCCAATGAATTCACAATATTATAAAAGGGAATTAAGTTCTACCCATAAAACTTCTGACACATGATGCAAATGTGCAGTACTCTTAATATTAGTATGTCAGAGCCATCTTAATGAATGTTCTTGGTACATCTCCAGCTATCAATAATGTGTCATATAAGCACATAAATGTAAGCAGAAAAATATTAAAACTTAAGATTTATAAAGGTTGGGCGTGGTGACTCACGCCTGTAATCCTAGCACTCTGCGAGGCTGAGATTGGAGAATTGCTTGAGCTCAGGAGTGTGAGACCAGCCTGAGCAAGAGCAAGACCCCGTCTCTACTAAAAAATAGAAAGAAATTAGCCAAACAACTAAAAATAGAAAAAAATTAGCTGGGCATGGTGGTGCGTGCCTGTAATCTCAGCTACTCAGGAGACTGAGGCAGGAGGATCGCTTGAGCCCAGGAGTTTGAGGTTGCTGTGAGCTAGGCTGATGCCACGGCACTCAGGGCAACAAAGCGAGACGGTCTCAAAAAAAAAAAAAAAAAAAAAAAGATTTATAAACAAAATATAAGAACCTGGGAGTGAAATTCTTCTCTCCCTCTCCCTCCCTCCCTCTCTCCCTGTCTTCCTCTCTCCTCCCCCCTTCACTCCCACTCTTTGTTTCTCTTTCTTTTTTTTGAGACAGATCTTGTTCTGTTGCCTAGGGTAGAGTGTACCAGCATCATTTTTATAGCTCACTGCAACCTCAGACTCCTGGGACTACAGGTGTTGTGCCACCATGCCTGGCTAATTTTTTTATTTTTTGTAGAAATAGGGTCTTGCTATGTTGCTCAGGCTGGTCTTGAACTCCTGGCCTCAAGTGATCCTCCTGCCTCAGGCTTCCAAATTGTTGAGATAACAGGCGTGAGCCACCATGCCTAGCCTTTTTTTTTTTTTTTAACTAATTAGGTCATTGAAATGGCCATCAAGTTTATTAAGCAATTAAGTTGTTGTTATTGATAATATATAAGCATTTGTTTGTGGTCTTTGAAGGGAGAAAGAGAATGTGTGATGGAGGAAGGGCCGTTGGTGTTAGTGGTAGAGGGAGCTCTCATTCAGGAAATCCATGAGCATAGACTGTCATGGTATCAGGGTTGCTTACAAAAGTCTTGATTGTGTCATTTTCTCTTGATATGTTATATTTTTCAGAATCTAGTCATGAGGTGAGTACTTTCTGCTTACATTGAAAAACAAGAAACATGTACATTTATTTGTTTTATTTACAAAAACATTAATATGAAGGCCATCAAATAGAATTGATTTCTAAATTCTCTTCAGGCTCATATCACATAAATCATAAAGTAGTCATTCTAAGTTGAAATTTGTATTGTAACAGGCAAAAACTTTTGTTTTTCTTTGGGCTAGCTAAGGTTAAATGAGATATACTACATATAAAAGTGTAATATAGATGCCAGGAAAGCTCAACTAATTTTTAATGCCTATATTTTGTTTTATAATATTGAATCTTATATATTTATTTTTGCTAGGGAAAACATGTATGAATCATTGTGGTATGGATGAAAATAGCATTCCTGAAAACCAAATTACTTCCTACCAGACCAGTTTTCTTGACTCAGTGGATCTTTTCTCCTCTTACAGCAAAAGCAACTAGGTCTTATTGACTTTCTTGATTTCTTTACAGGAGCCTTGTTAATCATTTAACAAGGTTTGGGTTTCCTCCTATGTGTCAGGCACTAAGTTCAATTCTGCAGAGATATTAAAGCTGGGCAGGGACGGTGATACAAAGAAATGAAATATAATTACTCTCCTCAAAGTGGCTCATACCTAATGAGTGAGGGCTAAACACATAATTCCACTACGGTGTTGTATATGCCGTAGTAGAGGTTTACAGCAGATATCGTGGGCTCTTAGAGGGGATACTTCAGCCAGACTCAGTGACTCAGGAAAGATCTACCCTATTGGCTTTGTAGTATTTCTAGAGTACAAACTCTCTGCCAGACTTCTCAGATACAAAGGTGAAAGAGAGTCTCCACCCTCGTATAGTTTATAGTCTAATAAGGCAGACAGACAATTCTCTATTTACAGAGAATTGACATTATGATAAATGTGTAAGGATGGGATATTTTGGTTGTAGGTAGATGCAGCTCCATATTTGGTCTTGGTGTGTCAGGAAAGGTTTCCTGGAAAAAGTGGTATTAATTTTAGAGACCTAAGCTGGTCTTAAAGGCAGAGATGAGATGCTAGTTGAATAAAGCAGCTACAGGTAAGACTAGGTGAGATAGACACAAACTAGGTGCTGTGCTTTGGAGCTTGGGGTTTTTCCCTGATAACAGTGAATAGCTATTGAAGGATTTTAAGCAAGTAGGGTAGAGAGGATTAGACTTACCTTTTTAGAAAGATCAGTATGGAGGAGATTACTGAGGGGGCTGAGATCAAAGATAGAACAAAGACTTTTAAAAATGTAGGGGAAAAACAAGAAATGGATTAGGGTAGGGATGGGAATAACTAGCTGCATGAAAATTTTAGGAAGCAGAACTGATAAGACTTGGTGGTGAGATATGAGGGGTGAAGAAGAAGAAAGTGTCTTAAGAGAAGACCTTAGACTCCCACAGGGCACACCAGTGGAGGGAACAGATGATGAGTTTGGTTTGAAGCACATTAGTGCTTATGGGATAATGTGAAATGTACTCATTTATTTGACAATACACATAACCCTTTAACTGGTTTGCCTTCAGAATTACTCTTGAGTAATGTTAAAATTAGTTTGGAGTATATATGTTGGGGAAAATGGTTTTAAAGCAGTTCAAAGAGCAGGTTGAAACGAATCTAGATTAATAACTACATTATGTAGAAATGATAAGTTAAATGATAAATTTTATTTTGTACAAAGAACTGCTTGTGAGGTGTGGTCATTATATCTCCAGAGTCCTATTAAACGTGAAAGTGTTCTTATCTGTTTGGAAGATTCAGTATTTTAATAAACATTCACAGCCAGGCGCAGTGGCTCATGCCTGTAATCCTAACACTCTGGGAGGCCGAGGCGAGCGGATCGTTTGAGCTCAGGAGATCGGGACCAGCCTGAGAAGAGTGAGACCCCGTCTCTACTAAAAATAGAAAGAAATTAATTGGTCAACTAAAAATATATAGAAAAAATTAGCCGGGCATGGTGGTGCATGCCTGTAGTCCCAGCTACTTGGGAGGCTGAGGCAGGAGGATCACTTGACCGTAGGAGTTTGAGGTTGCTGTGAGCTAGGCTGATGCCACGGCACTCCAACAACAGTGAGACTCTGTCTCCAAAAATATATAAATAAATAAATAAACATTCATAAATTATAGAAATGTGTCAGTATGGGAGTTTGACTACAATCAATACACTTTTGAATTAATAGGAGGCAAAAGAAACAATTAGGAAACTTGGTACACCCACAGTTGATCTTACAAATAACAAAACTTTTTCCCAATATGTGATGGTTTTATGTATACAAAAAAGCAGTCCATGGGAAAGAGTTATTGTGTTTTTTGCAATTCATTGATTTATTTATGTGTTGTTAAATATTAATTGTATGCCTACCAGGATGTGTTTTAGGTGCTAGGTATACAATAGTTAAAAAGATACAGTCCCTGCCTTCCTTGAGCTTATTATACACAGTGATCTTTTCAATATTTGAAATCTACCACCCCAGTCCACAACACCTGCTTGACGCTAGTTCGTGGTTTCCTTCCGCACGCTTAGAACCCAGCATCCTTACTTCCATGGTGTGCAGCATCTGTATTACCTACCCTTCTTATGCTGCTCCGTGCTGTTAGGGCCTATGCTGTATCTCACTCTCTTGTCATCAGGCTTCTCTTTTTGCTGTTCCCTCTCCCATGAGTGCTCTTCCTGAGGTTCTTCAGTCCTTTGCCATCCTTCTAATCCTAGCTTAAGTGTCACTTTCTTAGAGAGGTCTTCCCTAACTCACCCCTGACTCTAAAGTAGGTTTCCTTCCTAGCACTGTCCAGAGCAAAAAAAGAAAAAATAAATAAATAAATAAATAAAGTAGGTTTCCTGTTACTTCTCATCTTAGTACCTTGTTATTTTACTGCATACTACTAATTACAATGATTGGAAAGATTACTAATTTATTTATTTGTTGGCCTGCTTATTTTCTGTTTTCCTACACCAGACTATTAAGCTCCACGAAGGTAGGAATCATGTCTTGTCTTATTCACTGTTGAGTTTCCAGCACCTGCCATAGTGCTTAGGACTGGCAAATGCCAAATAAATGTTTCTTGAATGACCGGATAAATTCAGTAATCTTAATGCTTGGTATGATACTGTTTTAAGAATTAGGAGTGCTATTTGAAGATCTTCAACTAGTCTGTGGTTCTCAACTAGCATCTAGGGGGTAGAGACCAGGCTGGCTGCAAAACATCTCACAATGCACAGAACAGTCCCCCACAACAAAAATGTTATCTGATCTAAAATATCAACAGTGCTGACAACGTTGAGAGGCTCTGAAGTAGATGATGATTGAATAGATATGTGTTTTCTAGTTACCTCCCTGGAGCTCATGCCAACCAATCCTAAACAAGCTGTAAGACCTTGGGGGCTTTTAGTTTTCTTGTCTGTAGAGACATGTCAGATTTGTCTGGTACAACAATGCATGACATAGGCCTTGTGAACTAATTTATTCTCAGTTGTTGTATTTGGAACAGCCAGGGCCAGAGTCACACCTTTATTTATATTCTTTATCCTTAATTCCAGTCACTTATGTTTGAATCTTGCTTTCCTTAGAGTTTATATAGTTTGGCAGAGTTATGGATAAAGTTACATCTGCATTAATGGCTAAGTTCTCTGATTATTTTATTGGATGAGGCCTAAGGCTTAGTCGTCATTGACTAATACACTATAAAAATGAGTAGTGGTATAGCATTACTGTACTCACATTCTCTTAGATATACCTAGTGGTTATTTTTTTTCTTTTCCAAACCTTTATCCTAAAATTTTAAATCACTGAGAATAGAAGTTTAGTTAGAAATAAATCTTAGAATTAAAGTGTTTTGGTTAATTTGGACTTTTTATTTTAGGAGCAAATGATGAGAAAAAAGCAAGCAATGCATCTCGATGCAAGATATGTTACAATGGTAGAGAATGCATATTACTACTGCAACCCACCTCCAGCTGAAAAAACTGTGAAAAAGAAACGACCTCCTCTCCAGGAATACGTCCGGAAACTTCTGTACAAGGATCTCTCTAAAGTTACCACTGAGAAGGTAAATCTTAATGAAATCATACAATAATAGTCAACTTGAGATTTGTAGTAGAGCTAAAGCTTATATAAAGTCTAGGAGAGGTGGGGGAGAGATCCCAAGTTCCATTATAATTGATTCTGTACAAGTCGTCTCAAGAAAGCATTCACATGATGGTTATAATATTTGGGACATAGGTAAACAGAACTCTTTTGTGATAACTTCTCATTCTCATCGAAATAGTGGCTTTACTAAATTTAATTATGTATATTTGCTATATATAAGTATATATTACTTTATCTCTAATATTCTATAATGCATTTCCCCTTAAATATTTTACATCGGTACAGGGAGTCTTAACATTCAGTAAACTTGAAGAGGTCCATGATCCCTCTGAAATTTCATCATTTTGAATCTTCATGACTATCTGTATTATTCTGGAAAGGGTGTGTAGCTTTCTTTAGATTCTCATTCAGGGTCAATTGCCAGAAAAGGTTAAGAACCACTGACCTAATATCTTAATTATTGTGTTTACCCTGTTAAAATCTTTTTAAGTAAGATGTGTTGAACAACAACAAAAAAAAACATTTCGTGGTGAATTTTACAAGTTGACATATAAGAGAGTATAGAACTTTTTTCTTTTTAGGATAGAAAGTGATAGATAAAGATAATAGCTTTGAAATTGAAACCAACTTCCCAATTCCCAAGTCAGAGGCAATAATTGTTTAAAACAGTGTTAGAGTTGGCTAGACCTTTATAAATAATAGAAGGTTCAACAGTGGAGAAGACATTGACATTTCCAGTGAAGCTGGCACAAGAACACGTTTGCTGTTTGAAAGATGGGTTGTGAATAGAGAGTAGGAATGAATGTCTGCATTCTGCAATAGTGTCCATTTTATTCCAGAATAAAAATGGAAAGACTTTGATTGTAGGTAGAACTCAGCTCATTTTCTTATTGGTAGAGGTTTCAACATAGTAATAGCTAACTTTTATGGGGCATTTACAGTGTGCTAGACACTTTCCTATGTACTTAACATGTTTTCACTTGTCTAATCCTTACAAGGTAAGCTATAATGTGTAAATGCTGCCATTATCCCCTATTTCACACACAAGGGAACTGGGGTTGTCATGCAACATCAGTCTTGATGTAGTGTCCTCCACCTTAAGTGAACTTTTAACCAATTGGATTTGTTTATTTGTTGGAAATTGATCATTTCAGAAATATATTATTTATATCAAATGATGCACAAAAGCATGTTATTTTTGCTAAACCTGGGGTATTTCCTTCAGTGACCTGAGTATATGACCATATACCATTAGTTAGACTGAAGACCTAGAAACTGTAGGAAATTTAGGAGTATTATGGATTTAGGAAAAATGAGAATAAATTTTGCCATAATTAGAAATTCTCATATTTTACTATTTCTGAAGTGAAGAGGCTGATAGATGATCTCTAAAGTATTTTCAATTGCAAAAGTTCTCTGACTATATGATAGTAAAATTTCTGTATTATTTGGTCAGACTGTTGTGTGTTTATCTTAATAATTTAAACAGAATTCTTTTTGTTTAGGTTTTAAGACAGATGCGAAAGTTGCCCTGGCAGGACCAAGAAGTGAAAGACTATGTTATTTGTTGTATGATAAACATATGGAATGTGAAATATAATAGTATTCATTGTGTAGCCAACCTCTTAGCAGGACTAGTGCTCTACCAAGAGGATGTTGGGATTCATGTTGTGGATGGAGTTTTAGAAGATATTCGATTAGGAATGGAGGTAACAAAACTTTCTTTAAAGTCAACAAATTGGAGTTTGTGGAGAATTTAAACCACCTTTAAATCCTATTAATGAAAAATAATAATGTGAAAAACTGCCTTTTCCCCATATGATGTCATTTACTACTACTTCATTGGAGTTAGTGATTTATTAACAAGCTCTGGTATATCATATTTCCCAGTTTTCTCTCAGGCTAGTACTGGCGTTTTTTGGTTCTTTTTGTTGGTGTTTGTTTGTTCATTTTTAAAGAGATAAAGTCTTGCTCTGTTGCCCAGGGTGGAGTGCAGTGGCACTATCGTAGCTCCCTGCAGCCTCAAACTCCTGGGCTCAAGTGATCTTCCCACGTCAATCTCCTGAGTAGCTGGATCTACAGGTGCACACCACCACATCTGGCTAAATTTTAAATTTTTTGTAGAGGTGGGGTCTCACTGTGTTGCCCACGTTGGTCTTGAACTTCCAGTCTCGAGAGATCCTCCTGTCATGGCCTCCCAGAGTGCTGGGATTAGAGGCATGAGCAGTGGCACCCCAGCCTGAAGTATTTTTTGCCTCTTTTTCTCAAGCCTTATTAAACTTAGTTGGGAAGACTGTTTTTAGTTTTTATTATTTCAAGGTCACAAGACTCAAGTTATAAGAATCTATAAACTTACTAAGAAAAAAAATTGATAACCATTTTATAAGAATTTCCTGTAAGCACTTCCCTCTTCCTATAAAATCCAGGCTTATGTTTCCTTAATTCACTATTATTCACGACCAAAATACTATTATTAGGGAGAACTGCGATCAGGGAGAATGACATTTTAATTGTTGGTAACACATTTCATTTGTGGTAGCTTAAATCCTAAAATTGTAGGTGTGTTATTTTTTTTTAGACAGAGTCTGCTTTGTTGCCACCAGACGGCTACGGTGTGAGTGCCGGGTGTCGAGCCTCGTCCACAGCACCTTCCAAACTCCTGGGCTAAGGATTCTCTGCCCAGCCTCCCAAGTAGCTGGACTACAGGCATTACGCCACCAGGGAATGGCGTGGCTATTTTCTATAATAAATTAAGTGGAGCCAAGTTAGGCCTTCCTTTCTATTTATAGTAGAAGACGGGGTCTCGCTCTTGCTCAGGCGCGTTTCAACAACTCCTGACTCAGAGCCACAAAATAAGCGCATATGGCCCAAGTTTAAAAACTGGCTCCTGCCAACCTACAACTCTGAGTCTCGTGCAAATTATTTAACCCATCCCTGCCTTAGTTTCTCGCTACCTCATGGGTTGGTATGAAAAAATGGTAATAATCAACACAGTCTTACAATGGCCAATGGAATAATAGATACCTCAGTGGCCAGGCCGTGCTCATGCTTGTGAATTCCTAAGCTGTCTGGGAAGGCCGAGGGCGGTGCGGATTGCTTCAAGTCAGGAATTTCAAAACCAGCCTGAGCCAAGGAAGCAGACCCCGTATTCTACTATAATAAAAAAGGAAATTAATTGGCCAACTGATATATATATAAAAAAAAATTAGCCCAGGCATGGTGGGCATGTGTAGTCCCCAGCCTACTGCGGGAGGGTGAAGGCAGAAGGATCGCTCGGAGCCCAGGAAGTGTTGAGGTCTGCTTGTCGAGCTAGGGCTGATGCCAAATGGCACTCACTCTACCCTGGACCCAAAAAGCGAAGACCTTGTCTCAAAAAAAAAAAAAATAGATACCAGTTAAGCTACTAGCTAATTGGTGAAATGCAATATGTAAATCTTATACCTGTTCTGTTGATAATAATCACAAACATTAACAGAAAAATTAATTGCCCGCCTCCGGCCTCCAGGCAGATGCAATTAAGGACACGGACCACCCGCCCGGCCTCTTATCTCGTTTCTTTTATTAGAGCATTTAAAGATACCATTTTCCGTATGAGAGAAAAAGATCACCCATCAGTGTATCCATTTAGTACAGGGAGGAAAGAATATCATGTGTTGTTACTGCTTTTCTGTTCAGTATGTGCTTCAGTAAAGTGATATGTCAAATTACAGTAGCGGAATTTAACCTGTTTTATATACATTTACTAGTGTCTTTATTGAAAAATCTGTATTTTTTCGGTTGTGTCTTTATTTTAGGGTTAATCAACCTAGAATTTAATCAGAGGCGTATCCAGCATGCACCAAGTTCTTAGGATGAACTCTTATATTACCAAGTAATAGAGTGGGAATCAGGTCTGTTTTAATTTCAGAACTGCTTTTATTCTTTTACTTCATTTGGTGTTAATCCTGATGGTTCTCACATTCACTGGACCCTCCAGAGCATCTAAATACAGAACTTTAGACTATTGCACTATTTTGGATACCTGTGGCCAGTACTATTGACAGAGGTTCCAGAATAACGAAAACTTGACTGCTTCCCTTGTATATTTTCAGGTATACTATACTGAATTATGCTTTGGGCATCACATAATGTTATTGCATGTGTTTAAAAAATTAGATGAAAAAGACATTTACACCAACATACCTGTTTCGTGATTACATTATATTTATTCATATGAGAGTGCTTTAACGATTTAAAAATACATGATGGATTCTATTATATAAACATTTTAATTGCTTAGAACTTTCATGATTGATAATTGATCATTATTTGGTAAAGCTTACGAATTTGGTATAGTAATTTATGAATTATGGCATTTATTATAGTAATTTATTAGTTATTATGATTTTATACATTGGATAATGTTCTTCCTGCTCATCTGTATTCTGATTTATGTCCAAACTCTTTTTCTCTCCTTTGGTGGGGAGAGGGAGAGAAAAACTACCACTTGGGGGAAAATATGTTATATTTTAACACAGAAAAATATTGTAAGCTCTTGAATTGTGCTTTCCATATCTTAATTTTGGTTAATTATATAAATTTTGATTTAAAACATGTACAGTATAGATTAAATTCAGATACTAATACAGAGCAATCCTATAACTTCTATAAAGTTTTTATTCTAAAGTTAACTTGTAGGTTAATTAGTTGGAGTCAATTATTATTTCCCATAAAATACAATGCTGTAAGTGTTGATAAGGGTGAACAGCTTGCTATCAAGTGCTTCAGATACTAATGAATAAAATGAATAAAGTACCATTAGTACCATTTGATTCTGTATGATCATAGTTGTTAGGATTTTCATTTAGCCATTAAGAAAAAATAAATTTAATATTATAATTTGAGTTATCAAAAACATCCACATATTGGCCAGTGTTAATGGGGATAAATATTCTTAGGGAATTATAGTTTATTAACTTTCTCCTACCAAACCTTCGCAATAGAGGACAACTTACTACTCACTTATTTTCTGAATTGATGAGCAAAACTGGGGAGAGGTTTGCAGATTAGAGAGTCAGATTCCTTGTTGTATGTAAGGACTGTCTTAAGTTGGAGCTGTATTTAAAACCACAGTTTTGCTGCAAAATGGCAGCTATAACCATATCTAAAGTAGAATTTCTTTCAGAAGAGAATCCTTATTTGGATTCACTCTAACCCCAGGCTGAGAGAAAGAGCCACTCAGAAATATTCAGGAGCAGAAAGAGACAAAAATATTTTCCAAGTTGATAACAGAAATGCAGTAGCAGAGACCTGCCTAGGGAATGAGAGGCAAGCCTAGGAGATGAGGTCAGTGTGTGCTGCCTTGATCCTGGTGTGTACAGTTAAGTATTTGAATGCCAGGTAGAAAGGGTAGCCTGGATCAGTGCTTCTAGACTTTAATGTGCATGCTTATCACCTGGAGATACTGTTGAGAAAGCACCCAGAGGAATATGTTTCTTATATGCTAGTAAATTCTTGGGTTATGCTTTCAGTTAATATAAATTCAGGAATTAGACCAAGTACAAAGTATTAATAAATGAAGGAACCAAGCTAGGAGTAGAGAGGGAAAGTGTCCACACAGTGCCATATACACAGTAGATGTTTACTAAATCTTGTGGATGTTGGTAATATTTATATATTTCAAAATCATATCTTCAGGTACTTTGGTTCTTAAAAATCAACCAGGTAGCTCAGAGAAAATAATGAAAGTTTATCAAAACTTTGCTTTGAATCTGGTTATTTTGTAAAATTAAATATGTAAACTCCATTTGGCTGTGGGTATGGTTCTGCTTGTTTCAGAGTGCTTGAAATTTATTTGGTATTTATTTTTAATTTTCCTTGCTTTAAAAAACTGTGATAGTTACAATAAAAAGGTAATTAATAAAGCTAACAACAAATATCTCAAAACGCTAATAGGCCCAGGCGGCGTGGCCACGCCTGTAATCCTAGAACTCTGGGAGACCGAGGCGGGCAGATCACTAAAGGTCAGGAGTTCGAAACCAGCCTGAGCAAGAGTGAGACCCGTCTCTACCATAAATAGAAAGAAATTAATTGGCAACTAATATATATGGAAAAATACCGGGCATGATGGTACATGCCTGTAGCCCAGCTACTTGGAGGCTGAGGCAGGAGGATTGCTTGAGCCCAGGAGTTTGAGGTTGTTAAGCTAGGCTGATGCCACGGCACTCACTGTAGCCTGGCAACAAAGTGAGACACTGCGTCTCAAAAAAAAAAAAAAAAAAAACGCTATAGAGGGAAATAATTGGATTAGAATCATTGCCATTGACCATTAATAGAATTGGTATCTTGTACAATCTTTTAGTTTACTTATTATAACTAGGTAACATTACAATAAAGTTCATTATTTTATTATGTTACTAATTTCTTATGGCTAAATTTATTTTTTATTTGTTATTAGCGTTATGTTTGGTGGAAGAAAAGTTTGGAGGTTTGGACAAAAGACCATCCATTTCCTATTGATATAGATTACATGATCAGTGATACACTAGAACTGCTAAGACCAAAGATCAAACTCTGTAATTCTCTGGAAGAATCCATCAGGCAGGTGCAAGACTTGGAACGAGAATTCTTAATAAAACTAGGTAAGCAATTAATCACAGATAGAAGGTGATGTTTAGCAGCTTGTTTCTAGAATTTGCTTTATAATGTTATCAGTCAGAGTTTACGTTGG